TTTTACATGATATTGATCAATATAAATCAATAAATAATGATTCTAATTTATGTAAAATATCAACTGGATCAGTATTTACATCTAAAGTAACAACAACAACAACAGCAACCACCACCACCACAACTAAACCATCAATATTACCAATACCAACAATATCTAATATACTTAATACATCAATACAATATACTTCTAAATCAATAAATTCACATTATACTAATCAAGGAACTCAATTAATTACTACAATCAATGATGAACAAGATTATAAAAATCAATCATTTCAATCAATTTTAGATATAACTAAACCAACGATTCTTTCATCATCACAATCTAATGATAATCAATTCATTGATCAAAATAAATTATCATTATTATGGAACCAAAAATTTATTGAAAATACTTTTATAGCCTATTTTAATCAAATTTTATATGAATCTAATATGAATCAATTAGATCATCAAAATATAGAATATTTTAAACCATCTATATCATCATCATCATCTTTATCATCGTTATCATCCTCCTCCTTCCCCTGCTCCTTACCCTCCTCATCCTCATCATGTACATCATCACAACTATCATCATTATTACATAATCTTTATCCATTAATCAATAATAAATTAAATCAAGCACATTCTAATTTAAATCTTCCACAAGATACTTTTAATGTATCCACAATCAATGTAGATAATAATAATAATAATAATAATAATAATAATAATAATAATCATGGAAATGATCCATATTCAATAAATAATCCATTCATTAATCAATTAACCAATGATTCTTCACTTTTATTACAATCATATCAACAATTTTTGAGAAATGCTTTACATTTAAATGGATCATTATTTAATCCATTCAATAATGATAAGAAACAATGTAATTTGATAAAACCAATTGACGGAGACAATTGTACTGTTGTTAATAATAATAATACTACTAATAGTAATGATAACAGTAGTAGCGGTAATAGTAATAATAGTAGTAGTAAAATTAATAGTAAAGAATTGACGTCACAATCAACACCATTGACAACTGATTGGACAAAATGGACAAGTTTCAATGTATTAAATACATTAAATCAAATATGGAAATCACAATGGAATACAATGAAATTAGATGAATCTAATCTAAATGAAAATAATCTAATCAATAAACAAGATTTAAATGAATCAATTAAACATAATCATAATCATGATTGTACTACTTATAATGATACCATGGATACTACTGATTATCAACAGATAAGTATATTAGAAAATTTTAAAAAAATTAAATTTATGAATTCTAATCATTGGATGAATAAAGATCATTCTCCTAGAAACAATCATTTATGTAATTCTAATGAGACAGAGGAGATAATTAAACCATTAACAGATTCCATAACATCTATTACATAATGGATTGAAACGTTCCTTTTTTTGTTTTTAATTTTTATTTTTTAAGTTTTAATGTTAGTTCATTGTGACAATGACTATTCTATGTATTCATATGTATGAATTTGTATAAAACTTATCTATAATTTAGATTATTTTAAATCATACATACTACTACTATTACCACTATCTATACTACTATTGATACTACCATTACTCCTACTACTATGACTACTACTACTACTACTACCATTATCACTGCTAATATCACTACCACTACCGCTACTACTATCACTACAACCATCACTACTACTACTACTACTACTACTACTACTACTACTATTATTATTATTATTATTACTATTACTACCAATCTAATTATGACTCTGATTATCAAACATTTCACAATTGAATCAAAGTTTCAAGTCCTCTAACTCTTTTCTCTCTTTATATACCATTAAGACTATATTACATAACTGAACTAGCATTTAGTTCAAATTATACTTAATATTAAATTCAAATATTTAGAAATTGTCAATATTCATCTTAAATTAATCATTTGTAATTTATCTAGTTTTTAATTCTTTATAATTAATTAGAAAGGAAACAATAATATGTACAATATACATATATACAAATTATGATTACTATTTATTATTTCAGTAATTGAAATCATGAGTCAATTAAAGCTAGACCACAATGGGAAATCTGGGAGAACTGGATGGTCGTTTCGTTCTAGTATGGGACTTCACTGCAGTACGCATCCACGATCGCGCTCCCCCCCGGGAGACTCGAACCCAGGACCTATCGGTCTCGCGTGCGAGCGCATAACCACTAAACTATTGAGTCGGTATCCAACAGCGTTAACGTCTAACTTCAACTAATCCACGAAATGGCACCACCGTATACTAATGTTTTTAGTGAGCTTATATCTCACAACAGACCCGGTTGAACTCCACTGGTCACGGCTTCTCATTGGGACTCCATGAAGTGCCTCTTGAAGTCAGTCACTAATGAGCAGATGATTATTTTCAGAAGGGATTTTGTGGAGATTTTAGTAGTTTTAATAGTTGAAATCATGATTCATTTGAAGCTGTTATTTATTTAATTAATGAGTTATAATATGTTAGATATGAAAACTATTTCCTATCTATCCGGCACTATATGATTACTGATAGTGTTATGATAAAAAGGGAGATTTCGATGATTATCATATATAAACTTTGAATAGATACATATACGTAATACTGTAGTGAAGGAGAATAAATATGAGGGTAACCGAATTATATTTAGCACAAATGTACAGAGTCACTTGATGAAACAGAAAAAAATCATACTGTAATACTTCATTTGCAAAATGTTCATTAATTGTCCCAGACTTCATTGTTCCTAAACTTCCATACCAATTGTTGTCTATTCTCATTCTTCCCTTCTTGATCTTCTCAATCTTCTACTGCCAGACATTATATCCCCGACTTGCGTTATATACTACTTATGTCAATATAAGTAGCACACACCACAATACTATTTCGTTGAACAATGATATTAATAATTGACAATAAAGTCAAATAATAGTGCACTTAGTTTCGTTTAAATAATTCTCAGAATGAGAATTTGTGGAGATTGTAGTAATTTTAATAATTAAACTTATGAGTCGATCTAAGCTAGACCACCAGTGAAAACCTGCAAGCAATGGGCAGCCGTTTCGTCCTAGTATGGGACTCCTCAGCAACGTGGGATCGTATATGTGCATTTCTGAGGAGTCCTATACTTGGAAGCAACAATTATCTAATTCTTCCAAGTTTTCAATGATGATCTAGCTTAGATGGACTTATGAATTCAACTATTAAGTAATTCTGTTAAATGTAGTAATAGAAGAAAGTAGATTTCCTTGTAAAATTGAAAAAAACTAATCCAATCTCCTTACATTACAAATAATTACTTACTTAGTTTATTCTGGTTGCAAGGTTGTTTTCTACGGGATGGAGTTGTTGACCTTACATCCAACTCTCCTCCTTTATCCGAGCTTGAAACCAGTAGTAGGCCTTTAAAAAATCTATAGACAGTTACACAAATAATGGTTTGCATGTAAAACAACAAATAAATATATAATGATCAAAAGGGGTTTGTGGAGATTTTTAGAAATTTTCACAGATTGAAATCATGAGTCAGTTGAAGCTAGACCACCATTGAAAACCTAGAAGCATTGGACGGCCGTTAGAAAAAACAAAACAAGGATGGTTAACCTCATCCGATTTTACATCATAAAAGAAATACTGTTTCTTGTCATTAAATGAATCCATTCAGTATTTGTCTTGTTTTAATGCACCATTTCAAGGTTACATTCTGATATCATTTCATACTGTATTTAAGATATCAGTTATTTGTGATATGAATATTAATGATAAATCAGTATGTGACCTTTTTTTAAAACAGCAATTAGTGTCATATAACTTGCTTTCACTTCTATTGATTTCGGTTCAATCCCAGTGTTGTTTTTGATCATATTTAGTTCATAATAAATACAATGGATATCTAAGATGCAGTTGGATGATCTAGACTTCGCAGACGATCTGGCCCTTCTATTCCAAACGCAACAACAGATGCAAGAGAAGACGAACAGTGTGGCAGCAGCCTCAGCAGCAATAGGTCTCAATATGCACAAAGGGAAAAGCAGGATTCTCCGATACAACACAGAATGCACCAATTCAATCACAATTGACGGAGAAGATTTGGAAGATGTAAAAACTTTTACATATTTGGGCAGCATCATTGATGAACAGGGTGGATCTGATGCAGATGTGAAGGCGCGGATCGGCAAAGCAAGAGCAGCATATTTACAACTGAGGAACATCTGGAACTCAAAGTAACTATCAACCAACATCAAGGTCAGGATTTTCAATACAAATGTCAAGACAGTTCTACTGTATGGGGCAGAAACCTGGAGAACTACGAAAGCCATCATCCAGAAAATACAGGTGTTTATTAACAATTGTCTACGCAAAATACTTCAGACCCATTGGCCGGACACTATTAGCAACAACGTATTGTGGGAGAGAACAAACCAGATCCCAGCGGAGGAAGAAATCATGAAGAAGCGCTGGAAGTGGTTAGGACACACATTGAGGAAAGCACCCAACTGCGTCACAAGACAAGCCCTCACATGGAATCCTGAAGGCGAAAGGAAAAGAGGAAGACCAAAGAACACATTACGCCGAGAAATGGAGATAGTCATGAGAAAAATGAACAAGAATTGGATGGAATTAGAAAAGAAGGTCCAGGACAGAGTGGGTTGGAGAATGCTGGTCAGCGGCCTATGCTTCATTGGGAGTAACAGGCGTAAGTAAGTAAGTAAGTAAATGTAAACGCATAAACTCACTATTTCAATAGATTCTTAACCGAAAAAAACAAACAGTTCACTGAGGAAAATATTAAGTAAAACTTAAGAACTTTATACTGAATATAAAGTTTTAGGTGTAGTGTAGTGTTCAATTTGGATTATTTATAATGACCTTTTTCAATTAAATTTACATCGGTTTGATGGTAAACATTAATTTTTAGTGAAAACTGTATTCATTCTAATCAAAAACCATCAAACTGTCAACATGAAACAGGTAAGGAACTATGTACAGATTGACAGCGATTGATATGGTAAGTAGATCCAAGGATGAAGACTTATGTTATGAAAGAAAGGTGTCGGAGGGGATCCTAAGTATTCTTCAAAAATTCCAGAGGTGCACTGAAATACTGAAAGTATTTTATCCAACCAGCGTTGAATAGAAGTTTATCAGAAACATCTAGATAGTAAGGAGTCATGTTGTCACATTTCTTATTGAATGACTACCTATCCTGATACTATGTTTAATGTGGTTCCAGAAAATTCCAGTAGCCAATAGTCACTTGATATACTGTAAACACCGACTTTCTGTATATAAATTAACTTTGGAGTAAAACGTTCACTTCACATTACACGCCTTTTCTCTCGTGTTCAAGTTGTTCAGTGAATTTAGCCTATGGTTATTAGGTAACTGACTTAAGCGTTCAGTTAAAAGACTTATCACGATTAGATCAAATGGTCTAAATCTTTGATTCATTCATTTAGAGGGAGAGAGAGACAGGCATGATGATCATAAAAAGAAACAACAATTTTAACTGGGCTACTATACTATCAAGCTAAATAGGTTTCAGTGTAATTTTGGTTCTTATGTGTTTATTTGAATTCATTGTCATATAAACGAAAGATACAACATTAGTTACACTTTAGTATACCAGTATACCAGTTCCATTGTACGGAGCTGAAACTTGGGGAACTACACCAATCACCATCAAGAAGGTACAAGTATTTATAAATGGTTGTCTACGCAAGATACTCAACATCCATTGGCCGGATACCATCAGCAACAGCCCGTTGTGGAAGAGAACAAACCAGCTTCCAGCTGAAGAGGAAATTAGGAAAAGACAATGGAAATAGATAGGACATACATTACGCAAATCATCAAACTGCATCACGAGGTAAGCCCTAACTCGGAATCCTAAAGGGAAGTGGAAAAGAGGAAGGCGAAAGAACACATTACGTCGGGAAATAGAAGCAGATATGAAAAGGATGAATAACAACTGGAAGGAGCTGGAAAGGACTGCCCAGGACAGGGTTGGATGGAGAATGCTGGTGAGCAGCCTATGCTCCTTCACGAGGAGTAACGTGCGTAATTAAGTAAGTAAGTATACCACATAAAAATCTGATAAAGCAAAGAGTGCTGACGGAAATCCTGCACTTATTTTGTTATGGCAGTCAGAAATAAATGAAAACAATATGTATAAATACACTCATTTACAGAGTGATTTTACTCATCCCGGATGATTCGTTCACAATAGGGGAAATACATAGAATAGTTACAAAACTTCAAACTACAAATGATACTGAACTAATTTTACATTGAATTAATACAGATGATATTACCTTGAATAAACATCATACTTGAGAAAATCAATTCATATTCACAAACTAAACATTTGCATCCAAACGAAGTTGGTACAATCACTCACGCTACCTTAGTCATCGGTATAGGTGAGTTTGTAGCAGGACTTTGATAAACTATTTTCGTATCTCTTCCGCTTTTTTGTATTTTACTTATTCCCAACATTCGTCTCTTGATTCTTACATAATTACTGTACTACTGACCATTCATCAAAATATTTTGTTAGTTTCTTCTCCTTTTTATATATTATGCAACGTAACAACTACCTGATTTTCGAATAATTACTGTGATTATTAATTTATATTCGATAGCTGATTATATAATTATTATGTAACGTATCTACTCGATAAGTATTATTTTATTAGTATCAGAAGGGGTTTTGTGGACATTGTAGTGATTTCAATAGTTGAGATCATGAGTCAATTGAAGCTAGACCATCATGGAAAACCTACAAGCACTTGATGGCAATTTCGTCCTATTGTGGGACTCATCAGCAGTGCTCATCCACGATCCCGCCTCGCGTGACCGGAACCCAGAACCTATTAGTTTCGCACGTGAGTGCTTAGTTACTAAACTACTGATTCGGTATCCGACGGCGTTAATGTCTAACTTCAACTAATCAACGAAATTGAGCGACTCATCCACCATTGTCATCAGTGAGTTCTTATCTCACAACTAGCCCGGTTGAACTCCACAGGTCATGGCTTCTCACTAGGACTCCAGGATATATATGTTGAAGCCAGTCACTTTGAGCATATGTTGATTAGTATCAGAAAGGGTTTTAAGGAGTCTCACAATAGGACGAAACGGCCGTCCAGTGCTTCCAGACTTTCCATGGTGGTCTAGCTTTAATCGACTCATGATCTCAACTATTGGAAAGGAATTTCTCTGCTCAATTCATTCCTTCGTCATCTACCAAATATCAAAATGGGAATTTTCACTATATTGAGAATCAATATTGTACCGAACAAAATATCACACTAAAAAAATAACCAGATATTACACTGAATAATTATCATATTGAATTAGAAAAAAAATATGGAAGTAACGTTGAATAAAAATTCACAATGAGTTAAAAGCATAATTTTACCATTTCATCCATGTTGGGTAGAAGCAGTTATCTACCTTAGTACAATGGAAGATGTTAGACACTATCACCACTTGATGCCGGCTCAGTGGTCCAGTAGGTTAAGCAATCGAGACCGAAGGTCCGCGAGCGGGATCGTGGATGCGCACTACTGAGCAGTTCCACGATAGGACGAAACGGCCGTCCAGTGCATCCAGGTTTCCAAAGGTGGTCCAACATCGATCGGCTTATAGTCTCAACCGGAAATTTTATTCTGTGTCTTCTTCATATGTCGTTGGATTTTAAATTTCACTATTAGGCACAAACCAGTTTAGGCAACAATATCGATATTAACAGTGACAAGTATATAATGTTTCAATGCATTCTAGCTTTACTTACTATTCTTGAATAAGAAAACTATGTTTAAAAGAAAGGAATCTTCAGTATTCAGTATATTTAATCAAACATACAGGGATAACGTTTTATGGAATGATTTAATGAAAAAAATTCGAGACTGACAAACAAAAATATTATTTTTTTCCATTTCATAGTGACAGCTGGATAGTTTGAAGTTGTTTTTATCATTCGTCTTTTAAGCTGCTTAGTTACCATTCTGTTGGAGCAGTCGATTGATTGCGGTGTATCTATAATGATCAGTATAACCTCATGAAGATAACAGTTGTGAACGAGTGATACATGATTTTTTTCATGAAAGCTTGTCTTTAGTAATAGTTTTATTAATTTATTTTTAACAAATAAGATAATCACTCATGGAATGATCATATATAGAACTCCATTGTAAACCGGAAAGTACTGGCCGGATGTTTTGTTCTAGTATGGGACTCCTCAATAGTACGCATCTACGATCTTATTCACGAAAATCGAGCCCCGGACCATTGGTCTCTTGCACGAACGCTTAACCTCTAAATCACTGAGTCGTCATCTGAGTGCACTTTGTTATGGAATCTCAAACTAGGAGGAAACTGAAGTTCAATACTCTCAGTTCTTCATTAGTAGTATAGCTAACATCAGTCTGTTAATTAAATTTCTACAAACCCTTCATATTAAATAAAATTGTATTATATTCTAGTAGGATACGACAGCTTAAGTAAAGTGGTTTCATTTGTGATGTGTTCTTTAAATTATATAATTTAATTACAAAATATTCCCCATCGTTTTGCACAGAGTCATCATTTATCACTTCAAATTACTACATATCCAATAATACATTTAACAAATAAATTAATCAGTTTGAATAGCTTAGATAAACTTTCAAGAAATAACTAGCCTACTAACTATTTATAAGTAGTATAAAACTTTATGTCAAAAATAGGCCCCAAAATCGATTGACCTAATATACATATAATAGTCAAAATATAAACAAATAAAATCAGTCCATATTTTACTCTTCCTAAGATGAAAATATTGAATGGATTAAACTTAAATTGATACCCCAAAACATGGTTAAATAATAAGAGAATCATGTATAGATCATTTACCCTATATATATAATAAACTACTGTAATTTTATTGTGCTTTTATGTTTGGTTGTTATATTTTTTACAGACTACTGGAGAGAATATTAATTGTGTTCAATCAGCACTTTGTTCCGATGGAATAACTTTGGATTCAAATGAAAACTTAAGACAAAAACAACATCAACCACATAGTCGACATGAATCTCCAATTATACATACACATACTGGCTATTTATCTTCTTCAATAACACCATCATCATCATCATCTACATTGTGTTGTAAATCATTTTCTATCAAAGTTTAACAATCTCAAGTACCACTTTGTGTAACTGTTCAATCTCCTAATCGTAAAAAACAAGAATATTCTTCATTTACGTATGATGTATACAATGACACAACACACTGAAATATATGAATGTGATCAGCATTTAAACATATTTAAGCTGAATGAAACTATTTTTTCTATGACAGAGTATAAGGTCATCTTTACAAGATATTTTTCTTTCACACATGTAGGTTGATTATTCCTTTATTTTTCTTTTCTTTTTTCTTTTCTTTCAAAAAAAACGAACAAACAAACAAGTAAACAACCACCATTAGAATAATTGATATTTTGTATAGAGATTATAGATAATCATACATAGTTTTTCTTTTCTTTTCTTCTTTCTTTTCTTTCCTTCTTTCTTTTCTTTCCTCCTTTCTTTTTTTTATACCCCTAATAGTGAATTCATTTGTTCAATTGTTCAATGATTTATTCTGCGTTTCTTTTTCTTTTCAGCATGATAATATTTTGAAACTTGTATCCAGATTAGTTTATTTTTTAATTTTTTAAAATTTATTTATTCGATTTCAACAATATTGAGTCTATAAATGTTCAGTTATTCATCAAAAAATTAAATGATTAACATTGACAGTTTGAACTAGTGGTAACTTAAGTGTTTACTTGTTTGTTTTCTTTTTTTGTTTTCTTTTTCTTTTTTTGTTTTTTTCATTTCCTAGAGAAAAACTCATTGATCAGTTCTTTTTTCCCCAACATTTTATAAGTTAAAATCGAGTAGTTATTATAAAGGAAGAATAAAAACAAAGCATTAAAGAACAGGGTGAGACTATAATTTATGAACGAATTAATCATGTATATCTGGTCGGCGGCCTATGCTCCATTGGAAGTAACAGGCCTAAGTAAGTAAGTAATCACGTATATGATAAGAGTGTAAGATCCAAAACTAAGGTTTGAACTGAAGAATAGCTGTCTAGGTGGGTTAGGTATGGGCCCTTGCCCGGTTGAAACCAAAACAAGGTAATTGGGTAAAATGACGGTTCTATAATTCATCATAAATTTAAATGTACATTGTTACCTAAACAAATATGACCATCCAGCTATCCAACCAATAATTATTCAATTAATCAAATCTAAATTACAATAAATAAGGAAGTTGATAAAAGATGCGAGAAAATTACCAATCACAACAAATAAATGTTGTTCTATCCTGTCTGGATAGACCACTCACAGATTCGTTCAAAACATAATATTTAGTTGCTTTATAACACAGAGTGTTTCCAATTCTTGAAGAATGCCTCAATTCACAATCAAAAATGCACAATTCCAGTCGATACAAACAACACAATCAAAGGAAAGGACAAACCGATATGACTGCCGCCAAGACTAAGTATCAAGTAAAACAACATAAATTCAGTTCAGGAAGAAACGTGGAAACTTAGTGAAGGCGTAAGAAAAATAAAAACTATAATAAAATACAAATATTGACAACTCAAATGGAATCAAAAAGACTAACAAAATGTACAACTATAGGAACCGATAGGGACAAACTGCACGTGTATACATGGAGGGATTTTCACACATACAAAACATTCAAAATGGATCTTACAGAGGTTTCGGATTTTGGCGTGAAATTCACTCATCTATTTGGTTAAGTAGAGTTTTGGCATTATAGCTGATGTCAGTTCGTGATGAAAACCTTAAATCTAATTTATAACCTTAATCATCAATTGTAAATCATAATTCTAATTCCTCATACAGGTTTATAGCCCTCATTTGGTTCTGGTCATTAGGTGGACACTCAAGGTCAGTTTGGTGTCGCTCAAAGGTCGTCCATAAATCGTAGTCTCATCGAGAATAGTAAGTTGCAGTAGAAACTAGAAGTGTTTTCAATTACTATGGACAGTTGAAGAATTATTCAAATCAAAGGAGCATTAATACAGTTGTTACACAGTAATCTGAAGTTATTTGACAGTGTGAATCTATAACTTTACATGAGAATGAACCGAAGATTTTTCAATCCAACAGTAATCATAGCACCTTTTAAATTAATAGTTCTACATTTTATTCCCAATCTTTTCAATTTTAGCAAATTTATGTTGTAAGATGAAAGTCTTGAATTTAATTTTGCTTAAGGTCGTTGATGTACATTTCATAGGAACCATAAACCTAAATAGAAACTTTTATCTAAAGTTTTTCAGTTTATAATGATTCTTTATCTGATTGAGATCACATCTGGATACATAAAAAATCAGGAATATTTCAATACAGTTAAAAGTAACCTTAGATTATTAGGGCACGTTGTTTACTTTGAATTGACCAACTGTTACTATAGTTATAGAATTTGGTAATTGATTTGATGGAGTAATCATTAAGCCTGATATTTTGGTGTTACATTGATGAAAGAGTGCATTATTCATAGTTCACATATAATAGCTTATCCCAATTAAGCACTTGTTTTCTATTCTAGTATCAGTTCATTTAGAAAGATTACGTTCAGAACTTGATCTCATAAGTAGTTATTACTGAATCATAATTTAGCATTATATATAATCAATCAATCAATATATTTCCTAGTTTCATCTATTAATATTCGAATACAATTTCGGATACGTATATTATGTACATCTATATGAGTATTAGGTATACGGGGAATTGGTATTTAGCCAAAATCAATGAATAAAAAGTGACTCAATTTTTAGAATAACTATACAAAAATAAGTAGGTAGATGGATACATGCATTATTATGAATACATTTAATAAAACGATCAAGATTACAAGTGAATAATTAACAAAACCAGATAGTAACTCATTGAAGACAATGGTGGAAGTGTCGCTCAATTTCGTGAATTAGTTGAAGTTAGATATTAACACCGTTGGATGCAGGCTCAGCGGTCTAGAGGTTAAGTGTTCGCTCGCGAGACTGATAGGTCCCGGGTTTGAATCTCGCGAGGCAGGGTCGTGGATGTGCATTGCTGAGGACCGTCCATTTCTTCCAGCTTTTTAACGATGGTCCAGATAAATTGTAATTATATTTACAATTACTAATGGAAGAATTTTCAGTAAAATATTCTGGACTGATATTTTTGAGTTCTGTAAAACTTTATTTCTGGAGGATTTTCATGGTGGTAATAATGACAATCGCTGGTACAAGAAACATTGACCGACTAACTTTCGTGTTTGTCAACACTTGGTCATTGTCAGCTTGACCAGTAGAATATGATTATCAATAAGCACTAGCTAACATGAACATTGCTTACTGTGTAGTGAACTGAACACGGGTGGGTACAACTGAGTTATGCTTAGCACGAAATTACAGTTACTCGATAAAATAGAAAAATCATACTCTAATACTTCATTTGCAAAATGTTCAATAATTGTCTGGAACTTCGTTGTTTTTGCATTTCCATACTAATTGCTTTCTATTCTCGCTCTTCCTTTCTTGATCTTCCCCATCTTCTGCTGCCAGACATTACATTCCTGACTCGCGTCATATACTATTTGTAAGTAGCACGCACCACAGTTGCACAATAAGTAATTGCTTTATAAACACTTCAGTTCGAAAGAGGTTAGATATGGCTAAAATTAATTAGTGATATCGTGTCTGACTATAATACTTCATAAACTCAATATGGAGCATCAGTTCTTTTGAAATCTAGGTCTAATACAACCTGCCGATCATCTAGTCATATTACTTACTTACTTACGCCTGTTACTCCTTATGTAAGAACATAGACCTCCCACCGGCATTCTTCATCCAATTCTGTCCTAGGCAATCCTTTCCAGTTCTTTCCAGTTGCTATTCACCATATTCATACCTGCTTCCAATTCCAGATGCAGTGCGTTCTTTGGCCTTCCTCTTTTCCGTTTCCTTTCAAGATTCCAAGTTAGCGCTTGCCTCATGATGCAGCTTGATGATTTCCGTAATGTATGTCTTGTCCTCCCTCTCTCTCTCTCCCTGTATATATATATATCAAAATAATTGGATGAGTAGTGTGAATGTATATCTTGCAGGAATATCATACGAAGTATTGGTTAGTAGACGCTTATGGTGTTGTATTTTGATATTTTCATATGTCTGATCTTTCTTTTGACTTAGTAATCTTTACCATACCTTTTAATATTACAAATTTATCAAGAAATGATTTTTTCCCTATTACTTCAGTTTTATGTCATTTATATATAAGTTACGTGCACATTGTTATTCCCTAATTGTGTTGCTATGTTCTTAGATAATTCATAGTTATCATAATTGAATAAAACACAAACGAGAATTAATCCACCTTCTATTTTCGTCTTTTGATTGAATATTATGTTAGAAGATTGAACACCATTAGGCGTCTAGGACTTGCTTGATGTTTATTAGTTTGTGTGTTAATTGGTAAATATAGTCACTTGTCACACAGGCAACATCATTAGACTAGAGAAGGCGATTATACAAATGCCCTCGAGCAATTAAACTCTAATGATACGGACTCTAATAAAATTTAACCATCTATCTATCCCCCCCTGTTATATCTCATAAGTAACGGCAGTTTAGGAAAACAATGAACTAGTATTTGAATAGCGTGTGTGTTACCCACTTTTCCAATTGTGTAATTAACAGGTTTGTTTCTGATTTTTTAAAGTCAATAACTGAAAATGTGCTAACGCATAACCATAAAATAATTCCAAATTACTGCAATGCTGAATACTGGAAAATTCATTCGGAAACAGTGTAATTTCCGTATTGATGGGTAGTAGCTAGCAATGGAATCCAGGACACGTGTTTCGTTCTATTTAGGACTCGTCAGCTGGATGTACCTGCATCTGAGTTGACGTTCACTCTGAGACTCGGACCTATCACTGTTCGCTTCAAACGCCATCGCGTTATCCACTCAGCTACTGAGTTCTGATAACAATTATCCATCTTTGTTTATAATGCTTGCAAATTAAGGCAATATCGAGGCAATACGCACAGAATGCACATATACCAATAAGAGATTGATCAATTTTGGTGCTAAATATCAATCGGAAGATTCAAGTA